ACTCTGTAGCATAAGGTCTGTCATTGAGTCAACTGGCGTGGTTTTGATTCCCCGGTTGTAGGTGACAGGGAGTAAGGTCGCCTGTCCAACCTCGTGGGTTTTCTTCGGGTCCTGCGGTCCCCCCACTGTGCATGAGAATTATTGAGATAAAACTGAACAATATGTTAGTCCCGAAATGACATGGTTTGTGTCGAGTGGACGGTAAACCCCCTCTCTCTCCCTCCCCGCCCCCTCTCTCTCTCTCTCTCTCTGGAAGGAACACAAAATCCTAGCGTAAAACAAAATTCTGGCTACCTTTCAGTTTTAATTGTTTTTTAGCAATTAAAAAATAAGCAGATTAATACTGACAAATCCTTACATCAAATTATCCAAGGTCATCGGTCTTTGTTCCCATCCGCCATTTATTTGCCAAATACATTTCCTGAATTATTATTACAACTTCTTTACATATCGTATCTAAAGTAATCATTTATTTTCTCACCGTACTGCGAGCCTTGTTTTAACTAGAGCAGACTGTTGACGTTACCTGGGTGGCTCTTCTCACCTGGCAGGTATCGCTATTGTTTGATGTTTAATCTGTTAATCTAACCCGCATGTGGTCATCGATATCCCGAGGATTAATCTGCCAATTGATTGATATGAACACAATGGTCTTATTGGAACAATCGACCTGTTAATTAACGTATATAGACTCGTTCAACCAGTTACTTAATGATAATTGGTTTTAATACAATGGACTTTCTAGAACAAATGACTTGTTAATTGACGTGTAGTCGCCTTCAACCAGTGACTTATTAGCACGTCAACATATTTAACTGGTCAAATAGGAACAAAGGACTTGTTAATTGATCGTGTTTAGTTAGTCTTTGTCTACCAAAAACTTATTAGCGGGTAAAAAAATTTTAGACTTCGAAACTTTTATCCGTATCACGCATAAATCAGTTAAATGTAGATGTTTTTTTTTGTAAAAAAAAAGAAAAAAGAAGTGTTTTTGTTTTATTTTCGAAACATACAGGACTTTCAATTGTAAATAAAATGTAGCTGTTGTACAACTTAATTGTATGTTTGGTGGGCCAACAAATGCACCGCTCATTCTCGTTTATTGCCAGGAACAGGAACTACCATTCCAGTAGAATTGGCTTAAACGATATTTATTTTGTTTTCAAATGGGGGCGTTTTATGGTCGAATGGTTAGCGGTTGGTCTGTCATTGAGTCAACTGGCGGGGTTTCGATTCCGCGGTTGTACGTGACAAGGAGTAGGGTTGCCTGTCCAACCATCGTGAGTTTTCTCCGGATCCTCCGGTTTCCTCCCACTGCTAAAGACCCATACGCGCAAGCGAATTATTGAAAAAAAATTGAACCACGTGTTGGTCCCGAAATGACCTAGTTTGTGTCGAGTGGACGTTAAACCCCATCTTTCTCTATCTCTCTCTCTCTCTCTCTCTCTCTCTCTGCTCCGATTGGTATAATGATGACAGTGTGATATGGGGGAAATGTCCGAGCAGCCTACTCTAAGAGTCTAATATCGAATTCCAACTGCCAATGGTTCTTTGCCGTACACGCTATTGTGTACAACGAACCTCGGTTTTTCGTCCCTTCCGAACCAGTAGAAGCGTTCCCTGGCCTGGGAGATGAACGTTCTCTGCCAACATCGCGATCAACAAGTGGAAACAGATGTTATATCGTCCCCACATTGCCTGAAATATAACAAACACACTAATATTTATATAATTTTACGGATTTTAGCAAGAAATAAATTATACTTGAATTCATTTTTTAACTTAAACTAACCGATCTGTTATTTCATAAAAAAAAACCCAAAACATTCCAGTATATTCTATCACGGCAAATAGACCTAAGTCTTGGTGCATGAAATAAAATAAAACATTGGATCAAAATTTAATTTATTGTTTGGTGAAAAATTAAAGCAGTGTATCTAAATTCTCATTCATAACAAGGACCTATCATTGTAGTGAAACAGGGACGAGTTTCTAATGCTTACAGTCTCGACATTGTTGGTACTTAACATAAATTGTATCTGACTAGAATCAATGGAACTCAATTAACTTCCATAAACTTCCGGTTAGACCAACTGATCTGTGTTTGAGAAAAATAGTCACGGATTTATTTTGTTGTAATAAATTGATGTAAATTGACCAATTGTCATTGTGGTGATTAGAACTACCACTGACAGATAAATCTATTTGTTAAGGCCAGCTCAATTTTTGTCAAGGTTGCCGAGATGTAAATAAGGTTAGGGCACGTGATTGTTGGTGAGATTGTAGGTTAGGGTTATCGGGAGGTGAAGGTTCTTTACAGACCCCCCCCCCCCCCACAAAAAGCATGGGCTGTGGGTCTAACGTTTCCTGACCTATGACGGCACTCATTCGCCTCGTGTTGCCGGTCCAGCGCTCTAACCCTGCTTACATCTCGTGACCTATGACGAAACATTGAGCTGGCCTTATCATTTAATATATATTTAGTTATATATATATACATGATTTATTTGTATTTGTCCACATCACGAAACACTTGTCTTCTATTTCTATTCTGTATAATTATAGATTCATTAAATACAATATTTTTTTTTCTCGCACCTTCGAGCTTTCTCTTCAAACTAAAGTTATGTCACTGACAAGATAATATCAATTTAAATAAGTTGGCGGCTTGTTTTATTATAACTGTCATGTTATATTTGACATTTTATGTGGATACGTAATATTTAAACCAATGGAACAGCGCCTGTTTGTCTAAATATTCCGTTAACATGCTACAAAACACGAAATGAAATTGGGTTTAACGTCCTACTGTTCTGCTCCTATACTGGGCTAATGAAGACGGGCATACGCCATACAGTGTGCTATGAGGGAAATTTTGCCCGGGCAGCGGCACTATCGCCTACTCTTGTATCGAATTCCAACTGCCAGGGGATCTTTTACGTGCATTCCAATATATACACGGGACCTCAGTTTTTCCGTCTCATCCGAAGGACTAGACAGCTGTCCTTGTCAGGCCCTCCGTCCTGCATCACTGACAAGGGGAAAATCTGGATGAACTTTCTCGGCCAATACAGGGATTGAACACCCGACCGCCAGGCTAGCGAGCCAGCGTCTTACCCACTTAGCCACGTGATCCCCGCTACAAAACACAAAGAACTAACTAAACGCTTTGAATAAATAAGAATCGGCAGGCGATGGTGATTTATATGAAATAATTGATAATGATGACTTATTTATTTATTTATTTATGTAAATATGTAATATATACTTTTACATTATGTACATTTTAGTAATTGTATTGAAATGTATAAATTACATGGAGATGAATTTATATAAGCTTTGGCTTGTTTTCTAATCCATTACATCAGTGTTGTAAATAATCTTAATGTACTTGAAATAAAAATATTGTTTAACCCTTGTCCGTGGACCCCATGCACATGTTTTATAGTGTTTTGTAATAACTACTGGGCACTGCTTTCTGAAATTTTGTGACTTTGTCTCCAATACATTTTTACACGTAGCGAGGAGTTCGGTATTCATGCAAATCAATCCCAACGCTTGAAGGGAAACTTGGACCCCTAACTTACAACTCACAGTAGGGATTTTGCTAATGTATTTTCTGCCTAATACCATATTGGGTATGCCAGAGTATTCTCTCTTTTAACATCTGCATGTTACAAATACCAAAAATTAAATAATGAATTCCAAATATTCAATGGTTTCTGTATCAAGCGTGAATTGCCATTTAACCTCTTTAACGCATAGTACACAAAGTAGCAATTTTGTGAGAATTATTAAATCTTTTCCAAATGTCACTAAAATGTTTTTGTATAATAATTTAGTTGTTGTTCAGTTGTCAAATATGAATGCAAATAAAAACTAAACCGCTGCCTTTTAATTCAGATATATCTGTACGTAAAAACTTTGAATTATAACTGGGGTTCATATGGACCCCTTGATACCTGCTATGTGATTCTCACAACGTGCACCGACAAGGGTTAAACCAACTCTCATTGTTAAAGACCGCAACGCGCAAGCGAATTCATGAAATAAAATTGAACAATGTATTATTCCCTAAATGACCTAGTTTCTCTCTCTCACTCTCTCTCTCTCTCTCTGTCTCTCGCTCTAACTAACTGTACCTACTGATGGACTTATCATTTGGACCTGGGGAGAGATGACAATTGCGCCATGAGCATACACGAATGGCAATAAAATAAAATGAAGTGGGATTTAACGTTATGTCGCTCTGCTCCGACTGGGCTAATGAAGACGGGCATATGTCATACAATGTGCTATGAGGGAAATTTTGCCCGGGCAGTGGCACTATGGGCTACTCTTATTTCGAATTCCAGCTGCCAGGGGATCTTTTACGCGCACGCAACTGTATAGATGGGACCTCGGTTTTCCGTCCAATCCGAATGACTAGACAACTGGCCTTGACAGGCTCTCCGCCCTGCAAGGAGAAACCACGTCGGAAAATTCCCATGAACTTTCTCGGCCAATGCAGGGATCATACATGAATGGAAGATGTGCATCATAGATTATTACTTATTATAATGAATTTTTTTTATAAGGTTTTTGTTTGTTTTCATAACATATTGTAATTTATATTTCATGTAAACACGTTGTTTAAACCAATATGTTCTAAAGCGTAAATTTGCGGCTGTGACGTCAAACATTCTGATCTTTAAGACAAAGGTTTAATCATTGGTAATTAACAAAGATCCTGGTTAATCGAGATGTTTTACTCTTTATCACGACCGGAAAATAAAACCCATTTGTGGCCATTACTCTGATAATCATTAGATAATCCATTAAAATACCTGATACACCCTAAAAACTAAGTACCTTGTTAATCCGCTAAAACAACTCCCCTCTTAATTATCCCCGCTTTTATTAATTAATCCCTTATACAAGTATACATTAGATACACAACTTCTCATTGGCTAGATTTAAGGTTCTTTGTTTTAAATTCAGAAACATATTATGCGATTTTAGTTTGAGTTGTCATTTACAGTTTGGAACATTGTGTTCAAGGACTAAACAACAACTCACGATAGAGTCGGATTTTACATCAATACTGGTAGGGTTTTAAACGTTTTTTGTGTATTTCGAAGTTTGGGGATGTGGTTATTGCGGCTATTAACCATAACTATCAAAATTCTCTTTGGTCGTATTTACGAAATTTAATGGACGTTTTGGTTTGTACATAGTCTTGTTCCGTCTGTGTTGTACACGCAGATGTCCTAGATATTATGAAAATTATATTAGTAAAATGTTATAATGAATGCTACTCTTAGGTGTTAGATATTCGAAATAAAAATGTTTTAGGATTTGCCTGAAGAAGCTTAATAAAGCGGAAAGTGCTCGCAAAAACCTAGTTTTCTTCCCTAAAACATATTTCGAATATAATTATATTCGCTTCCACCTGTAACAGAACGCGAAATATATCTCCATTCTGAATTTTAGATATTTGTCTATAACGGATTTTAAAGCCTGCAACGTGTTGATTTATCAGTATATTTTATTTTTGTTCTCTATAACGGATTTACGAGTGAACATATTTTTCATTGGTCAAAATATTGGGATATTTAATTGTTGATAAAAAATCCAAAAAGTTAAATAATATGCCCAATTATTATTTTATTCAAAAAATATTTATTTAATAAATATCTAAAAAATACAATTTGGAGCTGATGGAACTTCATCTCCCGTAAGAAATGAGAGAGATAGAAAAGGGGTTTAAGGTCCACTCGGCACAAACCAAATCGCTTTTGGAAGAACATGTTCTCTGTCCATCTCTTGCAAAATATGGACGGATCTTGGATGGCGACCGCTTGTTTCATAATATTCTGAGGTGGTTAGCCGACAACTGTCTTAGAATTTGACCCACTCCTACCTCTAAATGTAAAGAGACAAGAGAGAAAATGGGGTTTAACGTTCACTCGACACAAACTAGGGCATTTTTGGACGAACACATGGTTCAATTTTATTTCATTAATTCGCTTGCGCGCATGGGCCTTTAGCAGTGGGAGGAAACCGGAGGACCCGGAGAAAACCCACAAGGTTGGACAGGCGTCCCTACTCCTTGCCAGTTGACTCAATGCCAGACCGTATAATACAGCATGGACTTGCTAACCATTCGGCCATCCAACCTCCCGCCCCCTAAATGTAATGACTTCTAGCTATGATGAATGGCTATTGGAGTTTATCTTATAAACATTCTTCATCGCAGATAAAATCTATTGAAAGACGAAATCTGAATATTGTCAAATTTATCGTATATTTAAATAAATAGCACATGATAAGAATATTAGACGGGTGCCCGTGTATCTCTCTAGATGATATCCGTATTTTATACTTACACTAGACCTTTTACAATAAATTACACAGTTTGATGATATAAAATAGATTCCCTCTTAACAGAACATAGTTTTTATGGGAAGCAATCACTGGTTTATTCTAAAAACACGACGTTTCTACAAGTATCCTCTTATCGTTATCAAGTACGATAATAACGATAACGATAATAGGATACTTGTAGAAACGTCGTGTTTTTAGAATAAAACCAGTGATTGTTTCCCATAAAAACTGTGTTCTGTTAATGTGTTTCCCAATCGCTAAATGCCACTTAAAGCTAATATCTCGGTTCAGAGTGGAACAATTTGACTGAAATTTTCACCATATTTCTTTTCATATTCTACTTTTTAACTAGTATAGTGAGAACTTTCAGCTTTTTATCTAATTTTACTTAATGTCCCTTTAATTTGTATCTGAAACACGGACTTGGAGTAAACTTAAGTTTATCTGAAACACGGACTTGGGATAAACTTAATTTGTATCTGAAACACGGACTTGGAGTAAACTTAAGTTTATCTGAAACACGGACTTAGGATAAACTTAATTTGTATCTTAAACACGGACTTGGCTTAAACTTAATTTGTATCTTAAGGACGGACTTGGCGTAAACTTCAGTTGTATCTGAAACACGGACTTGGCGTAAACTTAATTTCTTTCTTAAACACGGACTTGGAGTAAACGTACATTGTAGGAATATGGCTGGGTTCTATATGTTGATGTGGTTTTTTTATGTTTTATTCCGTGTTTGGTTTTTATTGACCTTTGACTAATAAACAGCTGACTAGAAGAATTTTAATCCGCTAATAAACACGACTTTCTATCTCTAATATTTACTTTGTTTGGCAAAAAAAAATCCCAACCCAGTCAGCTTCAAAAAATAAACATACATGCCATTTTTTAAATACTCTTTATTTCTTTAACACAAACCCAAATGTAAAATGTAAAAAACAGACAAATATTTAGATTTGCTTGTAAACTTTATAATCCTTGTCGATACTATACAAGATAGACATGTTTAATATTCCTAGTCGACAATGTTCATAATCTAAGATATAGACATGTTTAATGACAATAGTCTGAAATATGGACATGTTTAATGACCATAGTCTGAAATATAGACATGTTTAATGACAATAGTCTGAAATATGGACATGTTTAATGACAATAGTCTGAAATATGGACATGTTTAATGACCATAGTCTGAAATATAGGCATGTTTAATGACATTAGTCTGAAATATAGACATGTTTAATGACAATAGTCTGAAATATAGACATGTTTAACGACCATAGTCTGAAATATAGACATGTTTAATGGCCTTAGTCTGAAATATAGACATGTTTAATGACCATGTTGTAGTAAGATTGATAGTTTAACAGTAAGATTGTAACATTAAGATTGATAGTTTAACAGTAAGATTGATAGTTTAACAGTGATGTAGTAAGATTGATAGTTTAACAGTGTAACAGTAAGATTGATAGTTTAACAGTGTAACAGTAACATTGATAGTTTAACAGTGTAACAGTAACATTGATAGTTTAACCAAGTTGTAGTAAGATTGGTAGTGTAAGAGTGTTGTAAAATTAAATTCTATATATACTGTACATTTTCACCCATTTTATTATATTTATATAATATGTATGTGTTTGCCATTTTAACTATGTATATACACCCATTTTGCATTATTAATATATATATATATATATATATATATATATATATATATATATACAAATTATTTAGGGAGAGGGGTTTTACATAGGCTAAACCTGTTCCCCAATCCCATTCAGACTACCTGAATAAAAATATTGCTTTAAAAAAAATTGATAGCATAACAGATAGTTTGCAGTAAGATTTATAACAGTGTAAGATTGTATAAAGTACAGCCGACATTACTTCTAGTATTTCTGGTATTAACAGTTTTATCTGTAAACGATATAAAATTGCATCTGACATTTACACTTTAAATGAAAATATTAACCTCTCTATCTCGCTTCCTAAATCTTCACGTAAAACAAATCCCCAGTTTCGTTTTTATAAAGTAATGTTATTCACATCAAGCAGCGATACAGATTTATCGAGAATAAAAAAAAACAAAGTCATGATATAGGATAGCCTTTGAAACTAGTCGTTGAAAACGTGGAGAAATTATCCTCTTTTGAGTTCAGAATGATGTTTATATATCCTAAATCTTTAAATGGGGAGAGAGAGGGGGAGAAATGGGGGTTTAACGCCCACTCGTCATTTTGGGATTAACATTATGGTTCAATTTTATTTCAATAGGGGTCTTTAGTAGTGGGAGGAACCCGCAGATCCCGGAGGTAACCCGCTAGGTTGCACACGCTAACCATTCGTTCCCCACCCCCATTCTTTAAAGGAACACAACCTCCATTAATTTATTACTTTATAGCACTCTAGTGTGTCGGCGATGAAATGCAGGCCACCAGAGAGAAAAAATGGGATTTAATTTTCCACTCAAGAGAAACTAAGTCATTTAGAGACTAACATTTCAGCAAGGGGAATCACGTGGCTAAGTGGGTAAGACGCTGGCTCGCTAGCCTGCAGGTCGGGTGTTCGATCCCTGCATTGGCCGCGAAAGTTCATCTAGATTTTCCGGCGTGGTTTCCCCTTGTCAGTGATGCAAGACGGAGGGCCTGACAAGGACAGTCAACAATAATACACGTACAACTCAGTCGTTTTATGCTAGATGTGAGTTGTGGTGGCTAAGCGAGAAAGACACTGGCTCACAAGTCTGGAGGTCGATCGCGAGTTCGATCCCGGTGTTGCCCGACAAAGTTCATCGTGATTTTCCGTTGTGGTTTCTCCTCGTCAGTGGTGCAGGATGGAGGGTAGAGCAAGGACAGTTATCTTGTCGTTCGGATGGGAGGAAAATTGATGCCCTGTGTGCACATTGGTGTGCACGTAAAAGATCCCTTGGCAGTTGGAAATCGATATAAGAATAGATCGTAACGCCGCTGCCCGGGCGAAATTTCCGTCTTAGCACACTGTATGTCTTATGCTCGTCTTCATTAGCCCAGTCGGAGCAGGACAGTAGAACGTTAAAGATACATTATGTAAGATTTAGATAAAGAACTAGCCATTCTTGCTATAATAATTCGGAAGTAGATGATTAAAATGAATAATTTGAAAATGTCATTCAAATTACTCTATTGCGAGCGAAGATATTAGCCTTTGAAGGTGCAATAATTTCAACCACCGTACTGGTTGATCGAAGCTAAGTCTCGGTCCTCCATATTTGATTAAATCAAAGTATCGCTGAACCATTCTAATCTATTTAATATCGGAGAAATCTGATGCCATCGAGAGTTGATTAAGGCCTGAATCAGTTAATTAATGTCTAATTATTACTTTAGGAAACATTTCAGGCCTAAAGAAAGACCCGCAATAGGCAGATTTAGCTCTTGCATAATGTATGTTTAAGCTCCATTTTAGACTAGATATGGCGACCTTGAGAAAGGTTTAAACCCTTCAATCTTATTAAAACGCAGATCCTCTGTGGTGTGGTAGTTTTTATATGTCTGCACAACAAAGTGAAGGTCATGGAAGGTATAAAAATTAAAACATAACGAAACGAAATTCACATATGTATTTTAATCAGATTGGGGCCTCGTTTAAGACGCTTTCCTTTGTTTGAGACACGACCGACATTAGGGTTGACATTTCACTTTATAATGTACAATATAACCTGAACTTTACTACCGAAAACAAAACCAACAATAACCACAGTTTACATAGCCCACCATTGTTCACTTAACCTTGTCGTAATTTCAAAAAGTACAAATTTCAAAAAACAGAAAACACACGTAGGTCGCATTACGTAGGTTGCTCATTTGTTTTATAATGCCGAGTTAAAATATAAGTAAATAAAAACAGTAATTAATAATATCAGGTGCACAATCTTACACTTTGTAAACATTTTCTTTTTTATCTGAAAAAAAACCCCCAAAAAACAAAACAACAAACCAACAAACAAATAAAAGTCATTAGAATTTAATAGCATTGAAAAATTTCTATAGATTGTATTTTCAAAACCCACAAAATCAAAATTAATTTCATATAAACGTTTACGGAGTAAAACCAGGAAATTGAAGTAAAATATTAAAATAATATAAGATTGTGTTTAACAATAGCCACCATCTTACCACAGCCAAATATAGAAACATCTTGAACAATTATAATTCAACAATAACGGAAAGTTTATTCACCGAAGACATTTCCGTATCTTAGAGAAACAATGAAGATTAGTCATCTAGGCAAGCATGACGCCATATTAATACGCCTTGGAATATTATTCAAGAAGGGAATACAAATTTGTTTCTTTTGGCACGTCAGATTTATCGAGACAGGCGCTGCACTAATCCCCTCCATTTAACCCTTTTGTATATTTTACTTTGTTTTTAATGAACCTGACCAACTACTCGTGGTTACGTAAGCTTCTGTAATCTACGTCCAAAATATTGAATGGAATAGGGGGGCGTCACGTCCGCAGAATTCAAATTGAAATGAAATGAAATGAGATGGGGTTTAACGTCCTACTACTCTGCTGCGACTGGGCTAATGAAGATGGGTATACACCATACAGTGTGTTATGGGACATTATTGCTACGACCTACTCTTATTATCGAATTCCGATTGCTAAGGGATCTTTTTACGTGCACATCAATATGTACACGGGACCTTGGTTTTCTGTACCATCCAAACGACTAGACATTTGTCTTTGTCAAGCCCCCCCCCCCCCGTCCTGTACAAGGGGAAACCAACCAAGCCGGAAAATCCAGATGAACCTTCTCTGTCATCACCGGGAGAGAACTCAAAACTTCAGTTTTTTTCTAACATACGGTTAAGTTTACAATGATGGGGGTGGGGTGGAGTGAGGGTTGGGGGTTTTATTGGCCCGTATAACGACTATCAACCTATTTCTCACCAAATGTCAATTACCAGCGGTTCCTTTACGTGCATGTCAATTTGTATACTGGTGCATCTCGTTTTTTTTGGTCCCATCCCAACAACTAGCTCTATAACAACAATAATTGCCCCTGCCCCGTTTAGATATAAACACTGACAAAGCCATCTATCAATATAGATACAAGACCTGTGTTTTATCAACTCAGCTTTAATCAAATTTCAATCTCTTGAGTTCTGCCGCCAAATGTTAAATATGTACATATTTGAAAACAATTTCAATATTATTACTTCGTCAATTCAGGCAAAACGTTTGGAATTGAATCACGTTTAATTGCGATTCGTCAGTTATATTAAGACAGAACTGGTATTCTTTATTTCTATGATTAAGGATCATTTTGTCCTAGCAGCGGCCTTTCTACTCACTATACTTCGATATCTAACTGCCAAGGGATCTTGTTCGTGCACGGCTATGTTTACGGCTTAGTTTTTCGTCCTATCCAATGGACTAGGTACACATTCCTTGTCAGCCCCAGGGGGCGCAGGAGCTTTCAAGACAGGACTTAAAAACCCCTGATGCTTTTTCTCAGTCCGGTGTTCCGACTGTTCTTCTTCCACGGCGCACGGGGTCACGGTGGCTAAATGTGTAAGACGCTGGCTCGCTAGCCTGGGGGTCGGGTGTTCGATCCCTGCATTGGCCTAGAAAGTTTACCTAGACTTTCCGTCGTGGTTTCCCCTTGTCAGTGGTGCAGGACGGAGGGCCTGACAAGGAAAGCTGTCTAGTCGTTCGGATGAGACGAAAAACCCAGGTCCCGTGTACACATTGGCGTGCACGTAAAAGATCCCTTGACAGTTGGAATTCGATATAAGAGTAGGCCGAAGTGCCGCTGTCCGGGCAAAATTTCATTTCCCTCATAACACACTGTATGGCGTATGCCCGTCCTCATTAGCCCAGTTCGGACCAAAACAGTAAGACGTTAAACCCCATTTCATTTCATTTCATTTCCACGGCGGACGTTTACACCCCCGATCTAGCGGTATTACGGCGGAGGGTTAGTTTCCAATTACATTAATATATTCGAGGCGAGAATATAGCACTGGGTAATTCTATCCCTCCGATAAGATGGAATACCATTATCAGAAAGAGGGTAAATACACTGTAGTAGTAGCTAACGAATGATTTAACCGGTGAGGCGATGACAAAAAGCCAAGACAAGAGTTGTTTTCCGTGAATGAATCTATGGGGATAGCTAAACGGTTAACCAACTATCATGTTTAATTTCTAATGTTGTTCTTCTATCCTAGACTTGGTACAAAGACAGAGAGAGGCGAAACACCACTAATCCTCGTTATACACACATAAAAAAACATTGCCACTGAATCAAAGAGAGAAAAAAGATCTATAATAGTAAAGCAGAGATCCTCGGAGGTCTGTGAAACGTTTGTTACTGAGTAAACCCGACGTGATTTAAAGTTGCTAACGGTCTATCTTATTATACTTGCCACTAGTTCGCAGCCAAACTAGATATTAGCGCATGTTTGAAGTGAGCAGTCGACTCGTGTGTGTTTTACTAGTAGCGTACAGTGTGTATCCGGGCTTATAAGTCACTACATATCAGGCGATATATTATAACAACATGTGGAATTTACTAGCCGTCTTCCAGATATTGATTCTTTATGGTAAGTTCCTTTTACTTATATATAATGAGAAAATGTTATTTATATTTTTACATTTTCTCACAGCAGTGAATAAAGAGTTAAAAATTGTAAGGCGGGAAGAAGTGTCAATATGGGTACTCCCAACATTATCAGAAGTTGTACTCTAGCGATCTTGAATTTCACCTTCAACACATTTCGAATGTTTTTAAAATATTATTAAACATACATTATGCAAGAGCTAAATCTGCCTATTGCAGGTCTTTCTTCAGGCCTGAAATGTTTTCTAAATTATTAATTAGACATTAATTAACTGATCCAGGCCATAATCAACTCTCGATGGCATCGGATTTCTCCGATATTAAATAGATTAGAACAGTTTAGCCATATTTTGATTTACGCTAAAAATGGATGAGCGAGACTTAGCTTCGAACAACCCGTACGGTAGTTAAAATGATTGCACACGTCTTGTCAAACCTTCAAAGGCTAATATCTTCGCTCGCAATAGAGTAATTTGAATGAAATTTTCAAATTATTCATTTTACATTCTCTATTTTCGAACTATTAGGGTACGGATGGCTAGCTCTTTATCTAAATCTTACAAAATGTATCTTTAATATTTTAGAATTCAGCTTTTGACATTCGATAATTATGTATTACTAACTGAAATATTCTAGACAGATCGTGTGTGGCTATTTTTTTTTTAACGATTTCGAATATCACTTATTACCCTCGATAATTACTTAATATCAGTATTATAACCCGTCATGATTTCTAGTTGATATCAATATTAACAAATTAAAATGTTTGACATTCAACAGCAAAACATAATACTAAAATGAAACTGTTGCTATTTGAACACGACCCACAAACCGTAACTTATTGATATAATTATTTAAACCAATGCTGATAGTATCTGAACCAATGACCCAGTCCTGGATTGGATTATGTGACACCATATACCGATCAGTGTTACATTTTGAAATGGGGTTTAACGTTTCACTTTTTTTTACACCGACTGAGCTAATGAAGACGGGCGCACGCCATGCTGTGTGCTTTGATAGCCAGCGGCGCTACATTCCACTCTTATTTAGGGTCCTTTCACATGCACGCCCATGTTTACGACGGATCGCGGGTTTTCGTCTCATACGAATGACGAGGCCTCGCCCTTTGCTAAACCCTCCGCACATCGATGTTGATTTAAATTGACAAATAATTTGTATTTTCAATGTCGAAGATATTGAATGACTGGTATTGAGTTAGAGACTTAGCTACATTTAAGTTCAAATTAAACGGCTGTCGTTTACGTCTGCTAACTCAATTTTAATTACTCTTTTGTGAATTAGATTTTGAATTACTTGTGCATTGTCTTCTTGGACATGTTTTTCTTTGTTCATTACAAATATCCCTCGACAAAATTATATCCGTAGTGTACACGACTGGTGTACTAATTTTAAAATGTTTATTGTGTTTTAAATAGTTGATATTATCCTCATCCAAACGTCGTTTAGTATTAAACTCAGTAATTGTGTATCCATAAAACTCTAACTTGTGTTAGGGGGGTTGGATGGCCGAATGGTTAGCACGCGCGCGCTGTATCATACGGTCTGTCATTGAGTCAACTGGCGTGGTTTCGATTCCCCGGTTGCACGTGAAAAGGAGTAGGGTCGCCTGTCCAACCTCGTGGGTTTTCTCCGGGTCCTCCGGTTTCCTCCCACTGCTAAAGACCCCTACGCGCATGCGAATTATTGAAATAAAATTGAACCATGTGTTAGTCCCGAAATGACCTAGTTTGTGTCGAGTGGACGTTAAACCCCATTTCTCTCTGTCTCTCTAACTTGTGTTAATATGATCATTTACTAAATGCCAATCAAAGAAGTTGATTTTAAAATGTTTTAATAGTTGGTATTACAATTAGGATTCCATATTTTCACGGCAAGATAACAACATCAATATTGATTGAAATGGATCGATATTGAATTCCGATTCGTGTTTTGAATTTCGAAGTTGTGGGAAATATTGAGTTAGGGGTTTACCTCATTGAGAACCAGTAAAACATTTTGTATTTCGCTTGAATTGAAATGAATGGCATCTAGTAATTGAAAGTCAAAACGGCTGCCACTGTGATGACTTAACCGATTTGTCTTTTTTATTAATTCTAATTTGAATGTCCCCGAAGTCAAGTCGCGTCAAATCACGTAAAATCGGAAATTACGTTTTAATATCAACCGATAAAAGTCAGAAATGTTATAATTACTGTTTAAAGCAGACATTTCATTAGAAATCAATCATCAACACAAGTTGTTACGGTAATTAGGGAGAACGTCACGTTTGTATTTTTTTTTATTAAAGTGCACATAAGATGGACGTGGAAACTTTTCGTTACGTGTAGCCAATGGTTACTATATCCACTTTACGGCAAGTCCACATCAATCTGATTGAAATTAATTCAGCTATCTGCACTCAAACTCAGTAAATACCTGAATTTGGTTTGTGGAACACACTAGATACACGTACAAAGTATAAATATATATACAGTATACATAATTACATACATTTAACATGCATACATACATACATAATTACATATTAAATGTACATTATGCACGAGCTAAATCTGCCTATTGTAGGTCTTTCTTTAGGCCCGAAATGTCATATAAACTATTAATTAGACATTTATTAACAAAATAAGACCATAATGAACACCAGATGGCATTGATTACCGGAGATTTTATCTAGATTAGAACGGTTCGCCACATCTTGTCAAAACTACAAACAGTGATAACTTGGCTCAGAATGAAGTAATTTGAATGAAAATTTCAATATTTTCATTTTACATTATCTATTTTTGAGCTATTATAGCAAGAATGGTCATAATGTATCTTTAAAGTAGATAAAGTATAAGTACTTCTATATTTACGATAGATACATAGATAAATAAAAAAATACGTCCAGTTTAAAAAATCAACCACTTTACTTCATTCTGATGTACATTAAATCACTTTCGAATCCCGGGTTGTACGTGACAAGGAGTAGGGTCGCCTGTCCAACCTCATGGGTTTTCTCTGGGTCCTCTGATTTCCTCCCATTGCTAAAGACCCCTACGCGCAAGCGAATTTTTGAAATAAAATTACACCATATGTTAGTCCCGAAATGACCTAGTTTGTGTGTCGAGTGGACGTTAAACCCTCTCTCTCTCTCTCTCTCTCTCTCTCTCTCCCATTTAAAGATTTAGGATATATAAACATCTCTCTCTCTCCCCTATCTCTCTCTCTCTCCTCTCTCTCTCCCCTCTCCCCTCCCCCCTCTTTATCTCACACACACACACACACTTCTATATTTACGGTAGATCAAAATTACGCCCAGTTAAAAAAATCAAACACTTTATTTCATTATGATACATTAAATCACAGGCTAGCTGTCTGCTCTTTATCGAGGAGCGTCATCTGATGTTATAATGTACATAAATAATTAAACATTAGCCATGCATATATGATATACATTCATAGAATAACAAAGATGAAATGAAATGGGGTTTAACGCCCTACTGTTCTGCTCCTAACCTGGGCTAATGAAGACGGGCATATGCCATACAGTGTGCTATGAGGGAAATTTTGCCCGGGCAGCGGTGCTACGGCCTACTCTTATATCGAATTCCAACTGCCAAGGGATCTTTTACGTGCACGCCAATGTGTACACGGGACCTCGGTTTTTCGTACCATCCAAACGACTAGACAGCTGTCCTTGTCAGGCCCTCCGTCCTGCATCACTGACATGGGGAAACCACGCCGGAAAATCTGAATGAACTTTCTCGGCAAATGCACCCGACCTCCAGGCTAGCTCATAGAATAACAGAGTTTCATAATTACATAAATATTGAACATATGGGATATATAAAATAGTTATTATGGAGACATTTTACAAATATTTCAATAGGTAGAATTTATTGGGAAACACCACATAGCTAATAAGTAAATATTAATGCAGTTTGTTTTTGATAACAATTTATAATCGAAGGATTAATAGTCATATTGTCGTTCGGATGGGACGACAAATAATAATAGGTGGGATAGCCGCTGTACGGGCACCCCTTCTCATAGTATATCACACTAGTTAAACCCCAATTTATTTCATTTCAGACCTCATTTAAATTACGGTCGCCTGTCTTCATTAGCCCAGTCGGTGCAGAAATGTAGGACGTTAAACCCCATTTCATTTAATTACGGTCGATGTATAAGTCACCATCAGGGAGAATCAGGGATACATTTAATTGTGAAGAAATGGCTTAGTTTGGACGAACACGTCAAGAAAACCGCAGTGATAAATTGTATTACAATAGAAGACAATTTCTTCTTGAACGACCTTAAATGAGAGTAGTATTTGATATTTATAGATGTTGGATAGTTTTGTCACGTGTTGGCGTTACTCTAATCCTACTGGTGATTGTGAATTTTGTCTCGTATCCAAATCATTTATAAATCAAACAACACAACTGGTATCTTGAAGTGTTCGGATCACTTGAAACATGGCAATAAATCAAAACACTTTTATAGCAAGTCCAGGAGGACCGCACCACACATAACATGGAAAACAAACCCGCGAACCGGACACATAACACACGGACATTGTAATTAACAAACGACTACCGAATCAACTGAAAAGATCCGGACCCCACTCGTATCTGTGGTCGTAAACGTAGACAAATACCTACTTCACAAATACAAATTATTTTATTTTATTTACATCGACAATTTTGATTGTTACCCTTTCTTGAAGGACGAACAATAGACACTGCTTTTGGCTTATTTGAGTAATTCCACCCATGCGCAAGGAATTTTGCTGAGGGAGGTAATCAGCGTACTCGGAGTAAATCCACGAGGTTTAGAAGGCGCCACTATCTCCAGGCCACATACGCCCATATCTCGATCTCAAAGCCATATAATACGATGACCCATCAAGTAGACGCTAGAGACCACTAAAACCTGATCGTGCGGTATTTATCAGATCTATATGTAATTGGTACA